CTCTCTCTCTCTCTGTGTGTGTGTGTGTCTCTCTCTCTCTCTGTGTGTGTGTGTCTCTCTCTCTCTCTCTCTCGCTCTGTGTCTCTCTCTCTCTCTCTCTCTCTCTCTCTCTCTCTCTCTCTCTCTCTCTCTCTTTCCTGGCGGTGTTGTGGTACCAGCTGCACTTCTCAAAGCCTAAATGAGACCCAGCGATTGTGCTTTGCCCATCTGACAGCACAGAGTGTTTCTGTTAATGAGGATATCAGGGCTTAGTCGCCGGAAAGGTGCTGAATTATGTATGAGGTGTCATTAGACGCTTACCACGCTGGCCGTCATTACCGCACATTGTTTCTGCTGCTGCTATTAGGCAGGGCTAACGTTTGGCAAATGCTTGGTCAGCGCTCAGCCGACGTGTTACTGGACGCCTTTAAGCCCCATCCAAAACAAACAGGCACACGTTCACGATTGCCTTTTCCTCGTTCCCTCGCCTCTCGCACGAGGAAGAGGGCTCGTTCTCTGTCGAGATGTTGTGTAAGTGTGAACAGCCACGTGCTTGAAGCGGTAAACTTTGACCTCGGCACCGGGCTGGCAGATTGGACAGATCATTACCGCTCTCTGCCTAGCGTGCTCGGTTCAGCCGTTTCTTGCATGGCCTCTCAGAAAAGGTCCTCATCTCCATTGCTAATGTGAATGAGAATGGATGTTAAGGTCTCCCGCTCATGTTATGCCTGAGAAACGAACACGGTCGCTTCTCTGCACTCTGATCTCTTAGCTTCAGTCTTCACATCATTCTGTCTCAGAAACACGCGTGTGTGAATGAACACCGGTTGACATTCAAACATTCATTCTCACGCTTGGCTTCCACCAGGATGTGCTTGCGTTTACACGCCACACCTCAAAGTTCGATATTATCTGTAACACTCGAAAAGCTAGTGTTAAGTGTGTCCATTTATGAACTTGTCCTATTGTACGTATTCAAGGCCCAGATGCACCAATCTAACATAAATGAACTAGAAGCAATGAAAAGTGTACCGCGGTGTATCATATCGTCTGAGTCTGCACCAAAAATTTGTGCTTGAACACACCACAAATACTACAGCCAATGGCCAACTAGCACGTAACTCTCCACACCAGCAGGTGGCAGTAGTCTGCATCTGTCAATCAAAAGGAAAATCAGAACTAGCGGTGCGTTAAAAACAGCATATATCGCCCTCCGATGGGCACTTTGGAGTGAAAACAATCATGGCCGCCACATTGAAGGTTTCGTTCCAAACCAAAGTGCCCTGTCCCAAATGGAACACTTCATGTGCACTTGCGGTCTTATGAACTTACAATGGCCGCCGTGTGCGTGTGTCTGTTAAGTTCATGTCCCATTCGTCATTTTAGCATTCAGAAGGGTGCTCGCGAGCGCCCCCTTTGCGGCCTCGATCCGCACTTCTGCATTACGTCACGAAAGTGCGGACTAAGTGGAAGACCGCGAGGGTTTAGGGTGCAATTTGGGACAGGGCCATTATCTGCATATTTGGAATTACTGTCGCGTCTGAGTGCACCTTGTAGTAGAGCTACAGTAGATTCTGGATAAATTGAGAATCACGATTTTTTTGTCTCAAATAGAGATCACGATTCTCCCATGATTCTGAACTAAACTAAATAATGTGTGACAAAATATTAATTGCTGCAGTCTATTTGAAAGTGCTTAATTAATTGAAATGGATTATTAAACATTTGAATATAGTATATGTATTTAAAATATACTATATTTAATACACCAATTTTCGATATTAAAATTATGAAAAATTGGTTTGAATGAATGATTCAGTGACTCACTCATAAACACTTGTTTCATTACGGGATGAATCAGCGTTTTTGAACGAATCCTGAATGAATGATTCAATGACAAATACATTTTTGATCCGTCACTTGTCGCCACCTAGAGGCAAAACGATGCAATCAACACAAACACGTGCATTATAACACACACGTTTAAAAAAGTTAGAAAGCTTCATCCTTGTCCAGTGTCCCCGCTATTTCTCTCCAGAACGTATCACCAATAAAAATATCTTTGTATTCGGATAAACTAGAATTGTGTGGATTTCTTACAATCTCTTACTGGGACGTTTATTGTGTTTATTGTTGTTCTGCCTCCTCTGTTTGATTTTCGACTGTTAGACAATGGTACAGATCAGTGTTGTCACCTTGTGGACTGATCTGTCAGAATATTTACGGTGCAGATGTTGAAATTTCCACCACAAATACTGTGCATATAGCCTACTGTATATGCATAAAAAAATAACAAAGTATACTTTGACAAGAGGGGGGCAACCACCCAAAATTACGTAGAAGCTGTATAGCAGCGTGCTAAACACTCCGAATAGGTGACTTCTGCACAGGCAAGCATCGCTCACATTAAATGATATCTTAAATCATGAAACTGAGATTTGCTACTCGTGATTGTGTTTACGACTGTCACCAATTCCTGAAAAATTCCTATAGGCTTACACTGAAAGATAGAGTTTGAAGATCAGAATCACAGAGATGAATTGAGAGTAGCCAAAACACTCTAGAACCAAATAAAAAAAAAAACACTCAGAATATCTTAGCAGCACCCTGGCAGTCACCCACAAGTTTTGTATGGGAAAGAAGTGTTACTTCAGAAAATTAGACAATTGAGTTATTACTTTTCTAAGCAATTAGATTTAAAACTGTTGACCTGGAAATGTGAAAATCGATTTAGATTAAAGTGTACAGGGTGGTGTCACCCAGGTTTGTGCTTTGCAAAAAGAGCCATTAAAGCTCAAGTGTGATTTGAATACACATTATCGTCCTCTAGGTTATGCTGTTGGGTTATATCGCCCTCAAAAAAGCTAAAATCATACAGGTCTACATTTCTGTTTGGCCACATTTACCTACATAAGATGCTACAGTTTAACCTCATTCTACCGACTGTTGTCTCATATGTATCTCTGTATTTCTGACCTCCGCAGGACTGCAAATGGAAAGTGTACATGGAGCTTGATGGGGATGAGGTGGCAATCGCATATATCAAAGACGTGACCTTTAATGCCAACAGACCAGATGTAGATGTATTAAAGATGACCAAGGTGAGAAATGTCATGGAACAGTGTACATTACGTCTCCGTTATGTTTGTACTGTGTTTTGAGGAATGCAGGAGACTGAGGTCGTATAGCAGAGATGTTTGTGTCTTAACCTCACAACCGCCAACACACGTTTTAAATGTGTTGTGAGTAGATGCTTGTTATGATGCTGTCATGCCTTTCAGCCTTAGGTTGATGTGCTTTACTGTTTGTGGTCAAATCTCAATTACTCTCCAGCCTCCGTTTGTGATGGATAAGTGGATCGTGGGGATTTCTGGCACACAAATCGTTGACTGCACAGTAAACTATGAGGTAAGTACCAAAACAAAAAAGACTAGGTCCACAGTGCAGTCTACATGAAATAGTGTTCTGAATGTACTTACTACATATTTGCTATAGTACAAGTAGTAATTAAAACCTATACCTAACCTATAAGTCCATGTAGTTACTTTATATTACTTAATACTTTCAGTGCAGTGCGTATCCTGTAAAATAAAGTGCAACCAATTCTGCAGTGTGACATTTTTGCAGAGTGAAACTGCATATTCTGTAAGAAAATACAATGTTAGTGACTTAATGACGTGACATGTGGCCAAGTATGGTGACCCATACTCGGAATTAGTGCTCTGCATTTATCCCATCCAAAGTGCACACACACAGCAGTGAACACACACACCGTGAACACACACCCAGAGCAGTGGGCAGCAGTTGGGGGTTCGGTGCCATGCTCAAGGCAGCTCAAGGCACCTCAGTCGTGGTATTGAAGGTGGGAGAGAGCGCTGTACATTCACTCCCCCCACCTACAATCCCTGCCAGGTACGAGACTCGAACCCACAACCTTACGAGTCCGACTCTCTAACCATTAGGCCACGACTTCCCCTGTCAAGACTTGATCTTGATTATTGGTTATATATTGATTATTATATGTATTGAAGTGAAAACTGAAAGCTTTATTAAATATGAATGCATGTTAATTGCAAAAAAATGTATTATAGTAATTTCACAATAACTTGTCTTTTAAATATGGAGTACTGTCGAATGTACAAACACACATTTATGGTAAACTGTTAATATTTTCTATTAAAACTTGTATGTCGTTATCTACACTCCCATTCAAAAGTTTTTGAACAGTAAGATTTTTTATGTTTTTTTTAGAGTTTAAAGAAGTATTTTCTGCTCACCAAGCTTGCATTTATTTGATCCAAAATACAGCAAAAGCAGTAATATTGTGGAATATTTTTACTATTTAAAATAACTGTTTTCTATTTGAATATATTTTACGATGTAATTTATTCCTGTGATCAAAGCTTATATATTGTAATGATGATGTTGCAATTTAGTACATTTATATTACATTTAAATGCAATATCACACTGCATTTAAAATTATAAAAAGTTCTTTACATGTATATATTTAGTATGATAGTCAACACATCAAAATAAGTGTGCTTCTTTAAAACATAACAAAAGATTATGAAAACATAATGATTTAAAATGATGTAAACTTGAGTGGCCTTTTTGATTAATATTAGTATGAACACTTCTGAAATATATAATTTTAAATTTCAAAGTACATTTCAAGTGCACATGAAATACAATTAAGTACACTTCTTTTTCACATGGGTAGGAACTCATATTAAGATTTTTTATGAATGAATGAATTTTAATTTCATGTTAAATATACAACGTCAACATTTCACTGGACATTTTGTCATTGTAGAGAGTAATTTCAAATACACAAGCAGTATGCTTTTATGAAAACTCTTTATGTGCAACTTTCTAAACAGTGTAAAATCCATTAGGTATATTTGAAATCTGTATGCAAAATGTGCCATTAAGGTTATAAGGGGACATGTTTAAGCTGGTGCCTTGTCTCCTGCCAGGGTAACGTGAGATCTCCTAAGTGCACGAGACACGAGCACAGAGTGCAGTGGAGTCCAGACAGCGGGAGGGACGTGATCAGACCTGTAGAGCTGGTCATTGAGACGGCGCCGAGCATCAGGGAAGGTCACAACAGAAGCAGGTCCAACTCAGGTAAATCAATACTGATTGGTAGAGAGCTTGTTTGGTGTCATATTCAAATTAATTATATTGAATTTTCTTTTGAAAGGCAATATAATATATAGCAATTGAGAACTGGGTAGTAATTGATCACATGTAATCTGGATTACGTAATCAGATTCCAAAACATTAAGTACTTGTAATTAGATTCAATTACATTTTTAAATACTCAAATTATACTCTTTTATTGATTATATGAGTACGTATTACAATTACATATTACAATTTTTCATGCAGTTTGGAATCAGTAACAGACTACAATTTTCAAGTAAACCTCCAGTTCTGTATATATATAAATTGTACAATTGTATTTTAAATATACATATATGTATATGTGTGTGTGTGTATGCATAATATATAACACATATGTGACCCTGGACCACAAAACCAGTCATAAGTGTAAATTTTTTTAAATTGAGATTTATACAACATCTAAAAGCTGAATAAATAAGCTTTCCATTGATGTATGGTTTGTTAGGATCGGACAATATTTGGCCGAGATAAAACTATTTGAAAATCTGGAATCTGAGGGTGCAAAAAAATCTAAATATTGAGAAAATCATCTTTAAAGTTGTCCAAATGAAGTTCTTAGCAATGCATATTACTAATCAAAAATTAAGTTTTAATATATTTACAAATGTACAAAATATCTTCATGGAACATGATCTTTACTTAATATCCTAATGATTTTTGGCATAACAGAAAAATCGATAATTTTGACCCATACAATGTATTGTTGGCTATTGCTACAAATATCCCCCAACGACTTAACACTGCTTTTGTGCTCCAGGGTCACATATGACAATTATAAACACATATATATTTTTTACACAAAATTGTACATTGTATGCAGGTGTCATTCAACCCTACTATCAAGTTTTTGAGTGAAAAATAATAAATGATCTTTAATTTATAGGTAAACTAACTAGTTCCTACTGAGTAATAGCTTAATGTGGGCAATATTTGCAATCCTGTTACTTTATTTTGTATGATTTTATTATTTTTATTTTATTTAATGTTATTTTATTTTACATTTTTTGGGCTGTTGTAGTTGGAAATAAAAAATACTAATAGCAATTACAAACATTTGGATATCAGTGTTGCAAAAATTGCAAACCCCACATGAAATGTACAATAAATAAACCAGCTGCAATGATACTTAGTTTGACCTTCTGAGATGAAATGTCCTTTCAGCCCTATTTTGCATATCCATGGAAAATGTCTCGGTTTCTCATTCTATTATTCTGTTCCTCGATCAGGTGTTGATCCCAGATGGATTTACAGTCTGAGAATGAAGCAGTGGAGAGAGCAAGCTGCCCAGGAGTCCACAGGCAAGATGACCCTCCCTCAGTTCCTCTCCGTCATCGAGAACCAATCATCGTACGCCGCCGCTGTCAGGAGATCACCCAATCGCAGCCCTCTCACTCCATGGACAGACTCGCGGAGTTCCTCTCCCACCCTTTCCGTCAAACTCTCCACCATCCATCTGGGGTCAAAGGGCAGCAGCCCGTCCAGCACGACATCTGAGAGCACCTTGGAGCGAGAGCGGCCCCCTAGTGCTGGAGCTAAACACAACTACCACAGAAAAGCATACTACATGTTTAAAACCAACGGAGGAGAAGTGGAAGCCAGAAGGCCTAATCAGATGTCACAGAGAGGATCCAGAGGCTTGCAACATGCTGGCCGGCCCCGAAGCAACAACTCCTATATGACACCGTCTAACCACCAACGCCCAATACCGGGGATGTCCGTTGTCACTGAGGGGGTGAAGCAGAAAGGGGCGTCTGTAGAGGCCGGGTCTGGTGATGGGGACTGGATTAAAGTAGAAAGAAAGAAACCTAATAAACAGGAACATAAGCACCAGGAAGTGAGGCAGGGCAGAGGCCGGCCGCGCAGAGGAGGGAGAGGCGGTGGGCGTGGCCGAAGTTGAGTGCTTATAAAGCGTTACACCGTGTCCTAACTAGTCAAGATTCCAGCGACAAGCAATTTGAGTGTCCACACCAGACGCGACGCGGCAGAATCAATCAAATATCACAGCCAATCAAAAGCGCGTGTGGGCGGGCTCTCTCTGGAAGCGCACTGCACTCGCAACGAAATACGTTTATAATCTAATTCATAAATATTAAATTTTTTAAGATTATTAAATGTACATACTGAGTGACTGATACCATCTTTGTTATGGAATACGCTTGTTGGTTCGCACTGAGTTCACAGTTTTATCATTTAATTTGTATAATTTGTATGTTGTTGTTCCAGCCACGACGTTGCGGAAATAGAAACCATTTCTACAATAGAAATTTCACGTGTCGCCGTCGTGGCTATAGTTAGGACAAAACCTCTGATTAACATGGAAGAGATACCTTTTATCACTTGACGTGGCCTCGCGTTGCATGTAGCTAGGACACGGTGTTGTGGTTTCTACAATGGTTTCTATTTCCGCGATGTCGCGGCTGGAACAACAACAACATACAAACTATATGACAGTAGATAATCTTAGGTGATTATGCACTTTATAAAAACTTAAACGTGTCTAATGTGAATTTGAATATCATTTAGCGTGAGCTTATAGCCATACTGAAAGCAACAACATAGTTAACCTCAGATTTTGAAAATAAATTAAAGCAAACATGTACATTAAAACTGCGAACACATTGCGAACCAACAAGCGTTTTCCATGATGACGAAGATGGTATCAGTCACTCAGTATGTACATTTAACGATGTTAAAAATGTTTGATATTTATGAATTCGATTATAAACGTATCCATTTCGTTGCGAGTGCAGTGCGCTTCCAGAGAGAGCCCGCCCACACACGCTTCTGATTGGCTGTGATATTTGATTGATTTTGTCTAGTTTGGACACCCAAATTGCTTGACGCTGGAATCTTGTCGTGTCGCGTGTAGTTAGGACCAAGCGACAACCTCCCGCGCTCTCTCGTGAAGCCCCCCCCCCATGTTAAAATGCCCAACTTTACAGCAGAAAAAACATGCTTACAGCCTGGTTCAAAAAGTGGTTTTGGTCTATATTGCTAATTTTGCCCTTGATGACAACAGTGAGGGGGTGAATTTTTTTATAACTCGTCCATTTAAATTATATTAAGCCTTAAAGTTCTGCATAATTAAGGGCGTGGCCACTTGAGTGACAGGTGGATTGCTGCTGCTGTCACCGGCGTCGAGCTAGGTGGGCGTGGCTTCAGCAACCTGCTCCCGCCTCTTTGCCCATTTTCGATTATCCGGGAGAGACACGCTGCCAAGATGGCGACGGCCGGCTCCGCCCACTTTTGAGCTTCAAAAACTCTCTTCAGAAACCTACGGGTGACGTCACGGACACTATATGTCCATGTTTTTATAGTCTATGTTTAGGACAGGGGTTGATAATGAATCACGTTTGATCCACCGTAAGGGCTGGAGAGTTGGCTTATAACCAAAGCACTTAAGTGTTCCTAGGGGATTCAATAAAAGCATCTTCTAAACTGACACTGATAAAGGGTAAAAGTTCACCATGAAATGGATATACTGATTTTAAATGTCATCAATTATGCATTTTCTGAAAAAAAAGAGAGCTTTTCTCTGCTCTTTCATAGTTGATTGCCTAGTCCAGGTTTTAACTTGAATTTGCCTCTCTTGTGGTCTCTGATTTTCTTTTGTTTCTTTTTAAAGGGTTTCTTATGTATTTGAACTATGCTAAACACTTAAGTGATGATGGACTTTTTTCAATTAAACCGTTTCTGCCTGCAAGCCAAACGAGGTTAGACTGTTAAATGTTTTATTATGGAGGTCTATTTCATTTATATGATATGAAAGATTTATTTATTATATTGGTGGAATTTTAAACTTTTGTCAGTTTATAAGATATTAATAAAATATAAACTTGAAATGAACTCTGCTCGTTTTACCTAGTCAGTTTTTCGCGCGGTTTATGCAAATGCGCTCTGAGGTTTGGCGCCACAGCTAAAGATCCTGTAAGCGCAAACAGACATGATTTTATTCACTTTAATTCAAATAATCTAGGACTTCTAATACAGTTTGGTCAACATGTGTATACTCCACCCATAATGAAATGGATAATGCAGTTCTGGTGTCTTCAGCCTATTCGATTGCGTTACTTTATTCATTTCACGGAGCTTCCGGGACTCGCGTGTGGCGCGGAAGAGAGTCACGCCTCTTCCAGAATTACCCGCCAACTTCCAGACTAAACTCCGCGCTAATTCAAATAATCTAGGACTTCTAATACAGTTTGGTCAACATGTGTATACTCAACCCATAATGAAATGGATAATGCAGTTCTGGTGTCTTCAGCCTATTCGATTGCGTTACTTTATTCATTTCACGGAGCTTCCGGGACTCGCGTGTGGCGCGGAAGAGAGTCACGCCTCTTCCAGAATTACCCGCCAACTTCCAGACTAAACTCCGCGCCACACGACTGAGACACAGCCACACACATTCACTCACAGCGGACTCGGGCACAGTATACACTCACACCCCCTCAAATCACTGCGAGCTCCACACAATGCGCTCCAAGGTACAGTAAAACATATCAGCTCTTGTTTTCTATTGATCTGAAAGTACAGCTGCTGCGGTGTGTGTGGGTTTGTGTTTATGAATGAATGAATGCATGCATGCATGCATGCTCTCGTGGCGTGTGTGAAGTTTGTTTCAACGCTATAAAGGTGAAATTAACTGCTCAAAAGATTAATCACGTTATTTATCTGTTTGGGACATACATGTTTGTCCCATAAAAAAAAAAATCAACTGTTTGCTGGTTTATTAAACTTGTAGGCGTGTGTTTAGTGGGGGCAGGGGTCGCCCCAATCTTTACAAAGCATCTAATCAACATTTGTTTATAATGAAATATGTATCAGTATCCTGTTGTTGACCCAGTAAAGTTTAAATACAATTTCTCAATAACTTGATCTTGCAAAAATAACTGTGTACAAATAAATAAATACAATAATTTAAGTTGCACAGCTATACTAGAATTCATGGCCTCCAGACATAGAAGAGGTTTCACTTCTTCTCACCCATCTGCACTCCTTAATTTAACATTCTGATTTCCAGACTTTACCCACTTTAAATTGCCATTGCTTGCCGTGTAGAGAAATATTAGAAAGTATACAGGGCCTGTTACTGTTTCCAAGATGCATGTCTCAAACTGACCTCCACAGCAAGCCAGACTGAGCAGGTTTATCATGAATGTGTTGTATGTTGTTGTGCACAGAGGCAGCAGGCGAGGTCTCCCCGCTCCACCAGAATGAACCTGCGCAGTTACAGGAGCACCGCTGTGCTTCCTATGGAAACCTCCTCCTCGGACGACAGCTGTGACAGTTTTGGATCTGATGGTTTTGGGACCTCGGTATGACATGAACTTTTCCATACATTAAACTGACCTTGCAGATGCTCAAAAGATCCAAGACCGTTCTCTATACCTCCCTCTTAAAGTCATACCTCCCTCTTGAAGATCATGTTTTGGTTTGTTTTCTTCTAGAAGAGACAGACGAGAAGCTCTGCTCCGAGTGCGAAAGTGTTTAGCGTTTTACCCGTGACGGAGGAAGAGGATGCGTGCAGCGGTTTTGAGAACGGCCTGAACGACGACGTGACAGAAATGGTTCGTAACCACTGGAAACTCTTCAGTCTCTGCTTGTTGCTTTATCGTATACTGGCTTTTGAAAGGATGAATGTGTTCAATTAATCAAGTGGTTTTTCCTCGCAGAAGATGGACTCTGATTCTGAGACCTGTTCGCCTCCCAGAAAAACTCGCAAATCGTTCACGCTCCGAGTAGCCATGAAGTTCCCGAACAAACGGGCCAGTCCTTCAAAGCCAGTGTCGCCTGAGTCCAAACCCAAACCTGAACCTAAAGACCCCGAGTCTGACTCTGAGGGAGACAACTTCATGCTGAAGAGAGCGCTGAACATCAGAGAGAACAAAGCTATGGTGAGGAACTCTACTTCTACACGCCTGCATCCTGTGTTTAATTTAGGTATTTTTTTAAAAGGTAACTCGGTATGTATCCAACCCTGGATATTAGTATGCATTCATCTATTGCAGTTTGAATGTCATTCTTATGATGATTAGTTTGAGTATGAATCCAGTTTTAACAGAATTGCGATCTCTTCCTTGTAGCTTGCTAAGCTAATGTCAGAGCTGGATAAGGTTCCTGGACTCAATCCCAGGAGGGCTGCTTTGTCACAGGGCAATACGGTAAGACTTCAGAGTACTGTCGTTAAAAAACGATGACTAAAAATTGTATTAATACTACTGATGATACAATTATACTAATAATTTCTTAATGTCTACAATAGTTACTATGAATAACTTGTTTATGCTAATAATATTGATTAAAAATTACATTACTAATAAGAAATAATGCTTAATTTTATTACGAGCAATACAATGCTATGAATTTAGATTAATATTAGTTCTTGTTTTACCTTGGTTTGACTGAATTTTCTCTGTACAGCCTCGTCGTGTTCCTCGCCGCTCTCTGGATGCCGGCGGCGCTCGCCGGAGAAACCCAGAGCGAACGTCCCGTCCTCACACACGCTCCCGGTCACTGGTGGACGGACCACCCTCCCCTGCTCCAGAGGATGACCCTGAGGACCAATACAGCCTGGTCCGCAGAAACAGAAATTACGACGACGATGATGATGAAGAAGAGGTGCGTTACTTTAGTTAAAGGGTTAGTTCACCCCAAAATGAAAATTCTGTCATTAATTACTTGCCCTCGTGTCGTTCCAAACCCGTAAGTCCTTCGTTCATCTTCGGAACACAAATTAAGATATTTTTGATTAAACCAGAGAGCTCTCTGACCCTCCCATAGACAACAACGCAACTGTAATGTTCCCAGATCCAGAAACGCAGTAAGGACATCGGTACAATTGTCCATGTGACATCAGTGGCTCAATTTCAGTTTTGCGAAGCTACGAGAATACTTTGTGTGCAAAAATAACGACTTTATTAAATTCTTGAACTAAACCTTTAATATCAAGACTTTTTTTTTTTTTCGCTGTGCTGAAATTATAAACTTATGTTCAATAGTTTGGGTTGGTGAGTTAAATATTACAATTTAAAATAACTTTTTTTTTAAATATATA